CCCCTTTTTCTTTTCTCTGTCCACCATAAAAAGAATATTGATCTTTTTTTTTTTTTCCTTATGTTTATATATGGTTTGGAATTTATGAAATCCTATATTATTATATACGTGATAAGATACAGTCCTACTCAATTTTTAATTGCGTCCAATTTATGTCTTTCTACTATTTTTGTTTTTATTTGAAATTACATATTTGAATCTTATTGAATATAAAACTTTTTACTTTATTGTTGTATTATAATATTTAATTATGTAAAATTATTAATTTTTTTTTTAAATTATAGTTAAAGTTTTTGTAATTAAAATAATAACAACGATTTAAAATTTTAACTTAACAATATTTTGGAAATAGCATATGATATTTATATATATATATATATATTACTTTGATGATGTCATTCTTGCGAGCATCATCCAGCATCAAAAGTTCTAATGGCCATATCTGAAAATCCAACGGCTACGACAGGTTTAGATCCCGAACTTCCTAAATTGTGGAAAGCGTACCGCATGTGTACGGTACAGATTGGTGGATGGTTTGGTGAGTAGGGCCCATATGACTTTTTAACCTTTTTCACCTCATCTTTTATGGACTTTTTGTCTCCCAAGGAATTTCGATTCTTATTTTTGTTGGCTTCCATCCCTAAATTAAAGTTTAAAAACATAAAAAAATTTCTAATTGATGAATATATAAATGTATAGATACATTGAATATACAAGCCATAATCATTTATAGATATATATTAAATTATTAATATGTGAAAAATGAATAGAAATAATCATTATCCACTCAATGTAGTGGTTAATTTTTTTTTTTTTTTTACACAAATGTAGTGAAATAATTACAGTCGACAAGAAATTTAATATTAAATAAATACCAATTCCTAAAGTAAATTCTCTAATTAAATACAAAAAATTTTTTATTATAAAAAAAAAAACACCATAAAAATCAACACTGTTGAACAGTGGAAGTTGAGATTTGTTCTAAAATCTCTACGGATCTTCATAGCCTTGTCGGTTTCACGCGACCGTTAATTCTTTTTCCAAACAAAAAAAAAAAAAAATCAATTGCAGTTGTAAGAAGACAACACTTCATCTTCGGGCCATTGCTTAGTTCTTCTATAGCGTGCTGCTTTCTAACACACCACTGCTCTATAAAATATTCTTCCCTAACCTGAGAATCTCAGAGTGAAAACCAGAGAAGAAGAGCAGAGGAAGAAGATGAAGCATTTAGGTCTGGTTCTTCTACTGTTAGTTTTAATCCACCAGCCATTTTTTCTTCTCAACGTCGTCGCCGGAAATTGGTTTGTCAGAACCAAAGGAGCTCAGTTTCTACTCAATGGGAACCCATACTACGCCAATGGTTTCAACGCCTACTGGTTAATGTACATGGCGTCTGACCCGTCACAGAGGTTTAGGGTTTCATCTGCTTTCCGTCAAGCCGCGAGTCACGGCCTCACCGTCGCCAGAACCTGGGCTTTCAGCGACGGTGGCTACAGACCGTTGCAGACCGCCCCTGGCTCCTACAATGAACAGACGTTTAAGGTTTTTTAATTTTAGAGTTTCCATTAATCCTTGTTAGTTTTCCGAGTTGAAAATGTTGGTTTTTGGAATTATAATTCATCTGGGTTTTGCTTCTAGGGTTTGGATTTTGTGGTAGCTGAGGCCAGAAGATATGGGATAAAGCTGATATTAAGTTTGGCAAACAACTATGAGAGCTTTGGAGGGAAGAAGCAGTATGTGGATTGGGCTAGAAGTAGAGGACAGTACCTTACATCTGAGGATGACTTCTTCAGAAACCCAGTTGTTAAGGGGTTTTACAAGAACCACATCAGGGTAAATAATGAAGATTCATCTTCTTGATCTTTCCGTTCTCGTTTTTAAGCCATACCTCATATTGAAAATGTTCTTTTATTTCTTGAAAATGGTTGAGAATTAGCTGAGATATCTTCTTTTGGAGTCCAATCAGAGATTTTGATTTTATTAAGGGAATCTTGCATATAATAACTTGTAATGATTTAAACATTTGATGTGTTACTTTGCCTACCGCCATAAGATTTTTGTTTAAAATCTAAAATGGAATCAGAGCCAATCTGTTTCCTTGGCTGTGCAGAGCAGGAAGGGTAGTTGATGTTATTCATGGACTGAGTATGAGAATGTTGAGTAGTTTATATATCTAATAGTTTATAGTGCTTTTGATCACAAGGATGGAGATCTATCCTAATTTTACTTGTGACCCTTTTTTTTTTCTTCGCAGACTGTTCTTAACAGATATAACAGCTTTACCGGAATTCATTACAAGGATGACCCAACAATTATGGCTTGGGAGCTAATGAATGAACCTAGATGTACATCAGATCCTTCTGGCAGGACAATTCAGGTTTACTTACCTCCTTTTAGATGTGACTTTTTCTTCTTGACTTTATTTTCTTAATTTTAGTGGATTCTTTATTTACTGCTTGTAAATTCAGATATAAGCTACTTGTTTTAGTCTCTCTGTTTGTTAAAAAAGCAAAGGGCTTATTAATTTAAAGCAGATTTCATGCCAACTTTTTAAGGCCTTGGTGCTTTTATTTCAGGCTTGGATAATGGAAATGGCTTCTTATGTGAAATCAATAGACAGAAATCACTTGCTGGAAGCTGGTTTAGAAGGATTTTATGGACAATCAACACCTCAGCGGTTGAGCCTTAATCCTAGTTTGAATGTTGGAACAGATTTCATAGCAAATAACCAGATCCCAGGCATTGATTTTGCTACTGTTCACGCATATCCTGATCAATGGTAATAAGAATTCCAACTTGAGATGTCATGAAATAAATAGTGGATAAGAGCTTTGGTTTGTTTTTTCTTGATTGAAGTTCTTGATAAGGTTGTTATTAGAGCATGTTATTGACCAAGTTTATCTCTCATTGTACATTTTTGAGTTAGAATCTAGCTGCTATGTTCATGCAGGTTATCCAACTCAAACGATCAATACCAGCTTTCCTTCTTGAACAACTGGCTAAGTACCCATATTCAAGATGCACAGTACGTTCTCCGGAAGCCCATCATTGTGGCAGAATTCGGAAAATCATGGAAAGATCCTGGTTATAGCACGTATCAGAGGGACCTGACATTCAACAACGTGTACTACAAGATATACTCTTCGGCCAAAAGGGGAGGAGCAGCTGCAGGAGGCCTGTTTTGGCAGCTCCTAAGTGAAGGAATGGATTCTTTCCAGGATGGATATGGGATAGTTCTGAGCCAAGGGTCCTCAACTGCAAATTTGATTGCTCAACAGTCTCACAAGCTAGACCAAATCAGAAGGATCTTTACCAGGATGAGGAATGTATGGAGGTGGAAGAGAGCAAGAGCAATTAGGAACAGTCAGTGGCGTGGTGGAAGAAGAGGCAAGAAAATTGGGAACTGAAGAAATTGGGATCTGATTCATGCATACATATATATCTAAGAATATATATATATATATATATATATATATAGATGTGCAACAAATTTAGGGTTAAAAATATATTGGAGTGCAGTTGAAGAAGGTTCTTGTCTTCCTAATTAGTCTTTTCTTTTGGGTGAGAGCTTTCTCCTAGAGATGAATCTTGTTCGTCCAGGACGAAATCAATCAAGAGTTATATCAGTCTTCATAGTTTCTGCGGCATATTGAGTTTGTTAAAGTAAACTCTCAGGTTTTAGTCTAAAAAGAAAGGCTTGAAAATATTCTACTCTCACTTGCTATTGTTTCTTGTTATTTTATTTTATGATTTCTTGGTACCAATTCAATGCAAGTCTGTATAATTAATAAAAAAATAATATTTTAAATCTGTTTGTCAAATTAATTTTTGGATGATAATTATTTGAAAAATTACAAACTAAACAATTATCACCAACACCTAAAAATAAATTTAACTCGTCCTAAATATTGACCTTGATCATAATTTCCTGGTTCACCACTTTCTGGTCTGAGACCAAAACGATGTCGTATTAGAAAACTGGGCTACACTTGGACCTGTAGACCCGGGCGAGCCATTGCTGTAGACTCTCTTGGGCCAAAGTTGGGCTCCCAATTCATCTTTCGTCTTTCAGAATCCATTTTCGTATCAAGCGGCAACACTCCATACTAGTGCCCGCCATGGCCGCTTCTCCGACGGCCAAAATATGGTCTTCATCAATTAGGTCTTACGTCAATACCGGGAGACTATGCAGAACAACTTCAACCATTCCCTGCACCGAACACGGCGAATCTCTGGTTCTCGAGACAACGCCATGGCAGCCATCACATGGAACCCATTCGCCCAATCGTGTGAACATGATCGAGGTCAATTCTCCATTGCGAGAGCTAGTCAAAGCAGGTCAATTGCATCTTGCTCGCCAAATGTTCAACAAAATGTCGCAAAGAGACGAAGTTTCATGGACCATCATGATTTCCGGCTATGTCAGCGCCATGGACCCAGCCGAAGCTTTGATGTTGTTCTCCCACATGTGGCTTCAGCCTGGCCTTTCCATGGATCCGTTTGTTCTTAGCGTCGCGCTCAAGGCTTGCGGGTTAAATTCAAGCGTTAAATACGGTGAAGCATTACATGGATATTCGGTGAAAAGTAGTTTCGTTAATTCGGTGTTCGTGGGTAGTGCTCTTCTGGATATGTACACGAAAACCGGCAAATTTGAGGAAGGTTGCAGAGTGTTCGATGAAATGCCTATTAGAAATGTAGTTTCTTGGACCGCCATTATTACTGGGCTTGTTCGTGCCGGTTGTAATCAGGAGGCGCTGTTGTACTTTTCAGAAATGTGGAGATCGAGGGTGGTTTGTGATTCATATACATTTGCGATTGCATTGAAGGCATCTGCTGTTTCGGGTTGTTTGAATTATGGAAGGGAGATTCATTCTCAGATTCTGAAGAGAGGACTTGAAGTTACATCCTTTGTGGCTAATTCTCTTGCTACAATGTATAATAAGTGTGGGAAGTTAGATTATGGGTTGTGTTTGTTTGGAAGAATGAGTACACCAGATGTAGTTTCATGGACAACTTTGATAACATCCTATGTTCAGCTGGGTCAAGAGGAACAGGCCATTGAAGCTTTTATAAGGATGAGGGAATCTGGTGTCAACCCTAATGAGTTCACTTTTGCTGCAGTTTTCTCTGGCTGTGCTGGAATTTCTAGAGTTGAATGGGGTGAGCAAATTCATGCCCATGTTATCCATCTGGGTTTGGCAGATTCTTTGTCAGTGGCGAATTCCATCATGTCATGTATTCTAAAATGT